TCGCTATGACCAGCACCTACCACCCCAGGACGGACATAAACAAAGGCAGCACAAGCCACGTCGAAAAGTGTGGTCATGTGTGGTCTGCATCCAACCAGCTCGACCAGCTCAGAACGTGTAGCCGAGCCAGTCACTGCATCTCACGGTGGATTTGGACACGCTTTTTCTTTCTCATCCAACAAGCAGGGACGTGCCATCTCTGAACAGAACATCAACAACATCAGCATCAAACAACATGGCCTTGCTGTCCAGGAACCTGGATATAACAAACACTCTTCTCCATACCAGGGGATTTACCCAGTTCGGACCACACATCCCCTGATCCGCAAAAGCCATTTCGGCCAGCGCAATCCATCAACCGGCCGCCGTCGTCCGGAAGCGGCCGTTCCGGCGGTTTCGGGCGTGGAAGAGTTATCCCTCTCCTCCACTTCAGCTGGAGCAGCCGGCCTTGGACAAGCAAAACTAAGAGAATGGCTCAACGGAACGGTCTTTAAAGCAATTTGCAAATCAACGGAACCATCGAATTCGGGATGTTCATGCACTGAGATAGTCTGTTCTGTGTGCTTGTTGTTTCAAAAAAAACTCTTCTGGCAGAGTCGACCCCGAAAGGAATGAACTTCCAATGAATTTGTGACAAAGTGTGAACAGTATGAACCCCTGTTAGCGTGTTGTTTTGAGGTGGCACCAACACAACACCCCACAGACAAGCAAGCTTGATCCTCTGTCGTTTAGACCTAAATAGTTGAACTGTGTGAGATGAAACCCAAACTTTGATCAGATCAAGTCTTGAGTCCTTCAAAACGGAACCAGCTCCTTGAGCTTCTAGTAGCATGAATCATCATGTTTAGTTTCAACACCAAATGATGCCCTGAATATCCCTGAATCATTCTTTCTCTCCAACGTGTGCATATTGTCGCCTTGACAAGAAGACTGCCATCACAGCCTGAAGACTTCCAGTTCCCATTCTTTTGGATGATTTTCAATGATTTTCCCAGTCTTTCTTCTCAAATACCCCTCCAAGAACTCGACGTGTCGTTGCGATTCTTCCGGTTCTGCAACTTCCTCGAAACCGATCGAGCAAACGGGGCGAAGGCAAGGACCAAATCCAAAGGGTAGCAGGGTGGTGCTTTGGGAGAATCCATGTTTTCTCCAACAAATTTGGAATCCTACGGCTACGGTTGATGTATGTTGATGTGTGCTTACGATAAGGGTTGAGACATTGTTGACATTGGTTAACCATCCATCATCCTTTTAGCTTGCAACCCCAGATCGGGTCCAGCTCCGGGCGGGCCCAACGTCTGTGGCCTCCCAACCGTTTCATAGCCAGCCTGTATGTCTGTATGACCCGTAACTGATGTAACACCACAATTTGACATCATTTGACCACCACCTTCATTGTTCAAGACGTCAACAAAGCTTGGCAGGTTCACATTACGCGGAACGGTTCCGACCTCGCAAGACTGAACCTGTCCAACTGGTGTTTCTGATCCACTCCCAGGAAACATGCGAATCAGACCTCCAATCTCCCTGCGATCATGCGCCTCCTTTCACGACCAAACACCCACCTTTCCAAACCGTGGCGGTGGCTCGGATTCGCTGTTCGGTGGCCCCGAAGCGGTGGCTCTACCAAAAAGATGCATCAAAACACCAAGAGGCCAAAAGTCTTGGCCTCCACACATGAGAGCAGCCATTGCACTGTCCTCAAACGGTTTGTGGATCCGGTTGGTCCCTGAAAGTTCGGAGCTCGCGGACAGTCTCGCAGCTGGGGCGTTCGGAGCTCGCGGAGGCTGAGTGGGATTTTTTCTGGTGCGCCCGGGTCGGTCACCCCAACAACCGCTCAGCATCGTCAGGAATTCATGAATCTATGAGATGTTCCATATATAAATATATAGAGAGAGCTTGAAAGTCCCCCCCACAGTCTGCTGTGCTCAGCCCCATCATAAAGGAACCGGAAGGCAAGTGACAGCCAAACCCACATAAAAAAAGGATTGCCACGAAAGTGAGGGCCTCTAGTCTGATCTAATCAATATGGATGCCTTGGATTTAAGTTATGCAGCTCCAAGATGTTCTGTCCAAACGACAGGATCGAATGATTGAAAGGGTGTTTGGCGGTTCTTACATGATTTTGTTTTACTTTTTCGCTTTCCTGTGCTCCTTGACTTGCTTTGCTCGAGTAATTTGAGGGATTAAGTCGAGTGATGCTGTTACAATTGCCTCTTAGCTTCTCTTGGTTTGACGTAGCCTCATTTAATTTAGCCCTATCCAGGCCTTCACTGATGCAACCTGGTTCATTGCTTCTGGTGGGGTGCACTCAATGAGTCCTGCTGCAGCCGAACATTCAGGCTAGTTTTCAGGTTGACGTTATCACTTTACGAATTCTTTACGGTGTCGTGAAGTTCGCCACATATGACCGGATACCGTATTGACAGCGCTAAACCGACGCCCTCTCAATACTAAATGTGGTTCATTTTGATCGTGGCTCCCGTGACCCAGATGTGGCATGCAAACGACAGCTTGAACAATCAATTCCACCTCTTCAACTTGAACAGCCTTGGTGTGGAGCCACCACAACTTGGTTTCTTTGCTTCCACTCGAAGCAGTGATTCAGAAGGGCAACTTCTTGGAGTGTGCTGTCTGTGCGAATAAAGGCTCACTATCAACCCCTTTGAGGTTCAACCACTTTAGCCCTCTGATGAATATATGAATATGTATCATCACTTTATGCATATATATATACACATATATATATATATAATAGTTGGTTCTTGGTTCTTTTTGAGCACTTTTCTTTAAACTTTACCGCTACAACAACCCCTGGGCCACCTCACAAGCTATGAGAATGCTGGCAGATTCAATGACTTGGTCCAAACACCCTCAGAGGTGTCCACTGCAAGTAGAGATGAGAGCTTCCTTTTCAAGATCAAATCCCACGTTGAGGCTTTCACCCGCCCCTCTCGCGATTTTCTGCTCCCTCAGTCTGACGGACTGTCCTCTCCCTGCGGCTCGTGGCTGGGCGTGGGCGCGGCTGCTATCTGCACCAACAGCCGAAAACGCTCCTGCGCCTCGCAGTGAGTGGGCTTGGGGTTGGAGGGCGCTGGAGGGCTGGAGGGCTGCGCCTCCACGTTACGAGTTACGACAAAAGGACACAAAAGGATACAACTGCTGGGGGGGCTTAGGCCATGATGCTGCTACAAATTTCAGACACTTAAATACTCATCGTCACCCATTAGTCTTAGTGCTGTCTAGTGCTCTATCCATGTTGAGTTGAGAATATCTAAGGGAACAACTGCAAGTGGTTGTGGTTGTAGTCATGGTTCCTGCCCATTCAGCTGCAGCCAATGGCTTTCACGAGTACCCCCCCTGCAAAACTCTCGTCTCAAATCCCAAGGCTCCTTTTTGGATGTTTTTTGGGCAACGCCTCAATTCACAACGACTTGTACTACAGTGCTTGAGACGAATTCTCCAAGTTGAAGGAGTGAGGAGGTTCTGTCTGGCCAACAAAACTCCACAGAATCTTCAAGTCTCCCCTCCCTGCTCAGCCCTGCTCATCTTTCCCTCCTCCTCGTCCCTTTTCAGCTCTGCTTCGGCCAGCTCGAGCCTCTCGTTTTTGGGGTGGCAAGGGCCACAAGGACTTGTGGGAAAAAGGAATGGCAAAAGGAGCTATGAAGGCCTCGGGCAGTATGGAAGGCCAGTCCGAATGTTTCTACCCAAGAACGGACCTGCACGAGGATCAGTGGGGTAGAAGCATGTAGAAGTTTTCGTTCCAACCTAAATGGATCAGTGGCGGCCTTCATGTTCCACGTTTCCGGCAACCGCTTCCTGCCGCTGCTTGTTGCTTTGTCAAATCCTGGGTGGTACTTCCAAACATTTCGGGTCAGGACGGTCAGGACTAACTAACTAGTCCGACGGACCATTCAGCATTCCTGAAGAAGGTACAAGATACACAAGTACCGTCAAGTTGTTTCTTTCGATTTGCCCTAGATAGGACAGGCCCTTTTTGTTTCATGATAGCAACTCAGGCGGAGTCAGTTTTGGTCAGAAGGAGTTGCCTCCCAGATTGACCCCCCCCTGAAGAACAAACATAGACCAACATCTCTTGGGCCAGGATCCGTTACAGTAATTTGAATTCACAGCCCTTATGACCCGCTTCCGCCCATGTCCGCCCCGGAAAACGCCTCAACTCCTCTAGCCGCTCTTCTGCTAAAAGCCTGGCTAAAACGGCGGCTTCGAGCTTCTCCTGCAAGACTCCCTGGAGCCGCAGGCGCAGGCGGCGAGAACTAAACGTGAGGACTCCGGTCTTTTCCATTGATAAAGGGATGGCTGATGTGAGACGCGCGTATTTTGTTTTGTAATATATGTATGTAGGCACAAGAGGTTGATAAAGATTGAGGTTTGAATCTTAGATGAATTATGATGAGTTGTTTAGTAGTCAGGTCCTTGCAGTGAACTTGGCAACCAAAGAATGCAGTTTTGAGGTAGTTACAGTTACTTGTTGACACACATGGTTTGGCTTGACACGGCCAAACCAGGTCATTCTGCACACCAGGACGCTGAAATGCGGATCGTATTTTTCTTGGATTGGCCGGGATGGGCTAGGCCCTCAGTAAGGAGTGCTTTTCATAATTGGCTCTCTCAGCACCATCAACATTGCTATACACATGCATGCAACACACACACACACATACATAGATATACATAGGTTTTCTCGCCACAACCCAGATTTGACGCCCCCATTGACTGCGTTCCAAAGAACCTTTGCAACTCTGAACGAAGCAAGGGAGCAACCACGGTTGTGAAAACAGAAAGTCACAGTCACCCTGCAAGCGCTGAAGGAATCAGATCTGATCGAAGTTAAGGAAAGCTGAGTAGCAGCTGTCCACATCTTCCCCCTCTTTTAAGTCAGGCATCCCCCTCTTTTGACACATGTTCAGGTTGCTTACTGAGTTGGGACGCCAACATGTTTGATTTTGCGTTCCTAAGAACGGATCATCCGATGAACATGCAAGGTGAAGCCTCTTGTATCGACATGTCGGAAATCTCAGGACCATCCCCCAAAAGAACTCACACTTGGCAGCAAAGTGCACGATCCACTGCGGGCTTTTGGATCACTCGCACAAATCGATGACCTCCGGACCTGAGGGAGGGTCTCTCGCACGCCCCGCCCAGGCGTTAGGTGGAGGTCGATGCAAACAATTTGATTTCTGGCCAATTGGGAGTTTGTGGGAGTTGGTTGCAGGACAATCTCATCCAAGAATTGACAGTGGATGCCTCAACAAGCCTTCCGTCTCTTGACACTGGCATGGGCGATTGGTTTGACATTGTCTTACACAAGCATGTTGAAACCATGGTTGTTAAAGTCCCAACAATTTTGATTCGCAGGTAGGACATCAACAAGTCTGCCTGCATCTTCCTACAAAACCAGCACTCTAGCGGGAGGACATGTCTCAAGATGTCAAACTAAACGATGTCTCTTGTCAATTTCTCAGGCTGCAAATTCCAAACCAAGTGAGCCGTCGGTATCAGCTAATGGCCACAACGAATCCAACATGGAAAAACAAAACACGATGACAAACAAAAAACACAGGTCTTGAATAAAGGCCACAAGTGCTACTTCTGCAGGGCTGGATTGAAGCAAATTCCTGAAGACCTGTTTCTTTGGGTTGGGTTCATGTGTGTGTTGATAAGCTAAGAAGTCCACAGTCCAATGGTTGATTCATCACCCAACAAGAAAATAAGCATCATTCTGAGCCATTTTAGTGGGTTTACATGCAAATGCCTCACCAAATTGCAGAAGAAAGGCTGACTCAATTCAAAGAGTAAGCTCCCTCCCACATATTCAGTAGCATATTAGATCGTATTAGTTGATGTTCCTTTGTCCAAATCCGACAAAGACACAAAGTACCCCTCATGGACGCGTTCCGCCAAAGGAACAATAGGTTGTGCCCCAAAGCCCACAGCTGTACAAATTATATCAAATTATATAGCCACCCAGAAAAGTCAAACAAAAGTCACGTCTCAGATTCACAAAAGGAAACAACACATCTTAAGCAATTTAGAGGATATCATCCGAAGAACATCACTGTCCATTGGCTCCAAGAGTCCCACAACCGCGGAGTAACCCTCACACACTTTCCACCCTGTGGTCACACCTTCAGGATCTGCTGGTTCTTTGGCAGCTTCTGAAGGATCTTCGTCCACCAAATCTGAACGAGCTCTGCATGGATTGGGGTTGACACATGCCGTGGCGACCCGGCTATACAGTCTTGTAGCATGCTGTGAGTCTGTGAGCTTTGTGTGAACATAGGGAGCAACTGGAGCAACCCCAGCATTGATGGTGCACTTGCTGGTGCAATAGATCGTAATCCAGCCTGTCTGGGCTTGGCAACTACACCAACTACACCATGAATTATAAGGAGTGAAAGACCTGCCGAGTCTGGTGCCCAAACCGATCTCGGCAGCACACACAAACACAAAGACTCTGAACGGACCACCCTGAGGATGACTCTCTTTCTTCAACTCCGAAGAACACTCTCAAACGGAGTCATTTGGAGGTATGTGTATCAGGTCAAAAACGATGACTGGGCAGGATGCAACGACCTGGTGCACCAAACGGACCAAACTCGGACGACTCCAGAGCGCCGGCGAAACCGCCACGATGAGCCGCTGGCTTCGCCCCACGAAACCCACCACTCAAACACAACCATGTGGTAGAACACCTGGCCCTAGCCTTCAAAGACAAAGAAACATGGTTTACCTGGTTTGTAGTGTAAAATCCTTAGTCAAACAATGATTCTTTGGGATTCAGATCATTAAATCCATGGTTGGCCAGGAATCCTAGAGGGTACGGTTTTGGGTGGGAACCGTTCTTTCACGACATCGGTTTCCACCACCCAATCTGTCAACCACGTCTACCGACTTGCCTATCAACTGGTCGCCCAAACCACTCGCCGGAGGAGGACCAGGACCGGGACCTGGCGGCGCCGACCGAGATGGATTGATATATTAATGTGATATGGTTTGTATTGGCCAATGGTTTTTGATAGCCAAAGCTAAGTGAGTTCCCTTTCCGATCAAATATATAAAGGCCGTCTTTGACCTCTTTAGTTTTTGAATAGGGTTGGAACTACGAGACGTTGCAAACAATCTTTAGCACTTGGCACTTGGCATTGAATAACATTATGGATCTTGCAATGAAACCGCATGAACATGCACAAACCAACGGCAAACATTGTGAAAGGATAATGGGTTTAGTTATATAACTTCAGGGAGACTGTGGGGGCCAGCGACTGTTCTTGTTAGACCAGGGCCTTCCTGTTCAATCATTCATTTGCGATGAATTCGCTTTTAGTGAAAATCCAATGTCTTCCAAAGATAGAGGGTGGCCAGTGGCTCTTCTCACCCGCCAAGTTGGCACATACTTCAAGATTAAACATAACGCCGTTATGATAACGGCATGACAAACATTGCCGATGTATGCCCAAGTCCGGGCCCAAGTGTGTGTCATTCACCTTCGGCCCCTTCAGGTCATCCTGATTCTTCCCTTTTGAACATGGCACGAGAAACACGCGCAGAACCGACGCACGACATGTTTTTGCGAGAAACGTAAACTGAACGACCACGCTTCGCTGCGCTGGTCCTTTGGGGGCTTTCATCCACTGCGCCAACACCCGGCTGGAACGCCTGGGGCGCCGGGTTTTCGTGGTGTGTGAAGTCGTCCAAGCTGAACAAACGATTTGTTAACAGTGAAGTTGTCCAAACCAGATTGATGAACCACCGCAAGAAGAGCGGTTCTTACTTGGTTTGCTCAGGATTTGAGGTGCTCAAGGCATATCCTGAAACAAAGGCACACCCACGAATATGTTTTGAACTGAAACGAATAACGAGAAAAAGGTCTGACTCAGACTCACTAAGATGGAGGTGGATGGCATAGGCGCCTACATAAATCCTGCCGTGAACAATCAACAAATTTTCGCAAATCATAGGGGTGTGATCTGGGCAATTATACTAATTCTCACCCCGCTGCCCCGTCCTTAATTCCTAGAATTATTTTCACTCCTCGCCCCGATAATTCTGTTTCGAAATTAGTGGGCCCGGCCAGCTGGACTTCTTTCTTCTTTCCATCGGAGGGTCAATCCTTCCGCCTTTTGGGCCGGGACAACTCTTCCAAAATTGCGTGCTTCTTGTTGGCATCTGCCGGAGCCTCCCCCAAACTGACGGCCGCGTGCTCGTCTGCTTAGCAGTCTGGCATTTGGCGCATCCTGGAGTTGGCTGGTTTTTGATTTGCGTTTGTAACTTGGACGCTTCTTTCCCACATCACTCCGCACAGCTCTCCGTCTTTGCCTGAGCTGCCCCTTCTGTTTCCAAAACGATCCCGAGGAACCAGACTGCCGCCTCTCTTTTTGAAGGTAGATTTCTGTGCAGCTTGTGATCAAAGTTTGGCGAGCAACTGTCTTGGTGGGAGGCGGGCCCCAACTTTGTACCACCAAATGCTCCAAGATTGGGGGCTTGCTGACTCAAGTGCTTCCTCGCTATCAACTGCGGCAGACGCCAAAAAAAAACTTTTCGGATCCCGAAAAGACTTTTTCTGGAATATGGTAGAGCGGCCCGCTTTTGGGCAATTCATACTGGAAACACAGGAAAAACTGTTTTCAAGCCTCGTGTCTGCATTTCGACGATTGTTGCGAAAGTTCGTTCGCAATGCGCTGACTCTGTTTGGGCCTGGGGGAAGGAGCTGAGAACTTTGTGCTTCGGCTCTGACATCTGCAGCTGCACCTTGCGCATGACGTTGAGCCACAACGCCAAAGCTGATGGAAATTCAGCGCGCTGCAGCAAGGCATCACGAACTGCCACCAAGACCCGACTTGACATGCCGACTATTCCCTGTCAGCCAAAATGGATGGGGCTGTGCAACATTGGAAAAAACTTTTCGGAGCCCGAAAGGTTTTTTCCCAGAAGAGCCTCGATATTCCGTAGACACCCAAAACCACATGTTCATCGCCGATGGGAAGACTTTGAAGGCTGCTGGGCCAAGCCACTCCTTCCACGCTCTTGTTGACTGTCTGCAAAAGGAAAAGACTTTGAAGGTTGCTGGGCCAAGCGACTCCTTTCAGACTCTGGTTGAACCGACCGCCAGAGGAAGGACTTTGATGTCACGCCCAAAAAAACTTTCGGAGCCCAAAAAGTTTTTTTTGTTGTTGTCCTACACCTCGATACTCCACCAAACAAAATACTCCGGAAAACGAAAGTAAGTTAATTCACACCGTTAATTTCAAAGTCCACCTCGTCACCCCGGCTGGGCCCGCTATAGTTTGCGCAGGTGTGATATATAATTTTCACTCCGTCAACACACATATATACCAGTTGAATTCATATATATATATATATACTCATTGATCATGTTGCCCCGAATCTGTCAATGCAAATTGTTCAATGAAGTTTGGACACCAAGTCAAACCGACTCAGTCCAACCCCGTGCAAAAGGACTTAACAATCAAGGGGCCAATGTACATGGGAGATCCACGCACCAAGCCAGTGGACACGGCAGGAGTTAAAGGGGCGGTGAACAGTCTTGCACGGCGCCGGCTATTCAATCAACTTTGTTAGGTCGTCCCCCCGGCTGCATGTTTAATCACGGAATTGCGTGGAACTCAGGCGCCATTTCACGATTGACACATGCGTCAAGGCCCGAGCTGACACCGATCGACGCAGACCTGGTGACCTTAATCCGCCGCTTGCGTGGGGGAACAGACGGCCACATGCAACAAATTGCCAAACGACGTCGCATGCTTCCATGTGCTGAACCATGTCCACAGCGCAGCGGTGAACCTCTTTTGCTCCGCTGCTCCAATGCGCTGAAATTATTTTGACCTGCGCTCGGCCGCACGAAAAGCGTGCGGTTGGGCGGCGCATGGCGGCACTCTGCTCCTGAGCTCTGCTCCTGAGCAGAATAGTGCTGATCTGCGCTGTATGACAGGTTTTTGCAGCATGGCTTCCGGCATGCACTGCAGCCTGTTTCTGCGGCAGGCTGGTGCAGGCAAATGGCAACACCACATGACCGTTTTCAGCAGCGCAAGCCAAAAACGCAGTGGGCACCGAGTAGATCTTAGCATGCGGTGGGGCACAGAATGGAGAGCTCGTGACAATTCACCGAGTTGCTGCGTACAATCACCTCCAGGAAGCCTTGCGGTCCAACCCTGAGGCGCATGACTGTCATTCATGTACATGTTGAATCATTTTTGGGTAATATGCGCTTGCGCCGGGTGTTCTTTGTGCATTGGCAGCTATTATAGGAAGAAGATCCGGCAGAGCAAGAGAACGTATCCGGGAGGTAGTGGGGCCGCATTATGGGTTTGATTGCTTCAGCGCCGCTAAAAGATCTTTTCCGGCGAGAAAGTGCCTTCAGAGGCCTCCAGTTGGGCTACCGCGAGGTGTGAAATCATCCACACTGGACTTAAAGCCTGCCAATCTCTTTCCCACCGAGATCGGCAGGCTCGAAGCTCAGATGTTGATTCTGCAACCCAAGCCTTTGTCGCGGCCTGCAATCGACTCAGCATATACCGTTCCGGGCTGAAGATTGGCGATTTTGGGCGCGCTCAGCGCGAAGATGGAAGCCCCTGGTTCCCTCAGATCTTGGCACGTCCCAGTTGCTTATGGCACCGCCCCACTTGTGGCCCAAATGCCAATCTCCAGTGGCCAGGGCAGGCACTGGCCGCTTCCATGCTCCTGATGTCAGCGAACACCCAAACAGATCAAATGACGTCTGGGCGGGAGGCCTTTGCCTCCACAGCTTTCTTACGGGCAATCTGCCCTGCGCGGTCCCCAAAGTGCTGTCAATTGTTTTAGGCACCCACTCCAACAGCTCAGCCAGGAGCAGAAAAGATGCCCCAAACTGTCTTTGTTGTATTCTGTAACCTTTGTTACCTCCGGCTTCCACTGAGGGCAGCAAGACGGTCGCGATGGAAAGGCATCGGTTTGCCGCTGGGCGTTTACCACTGAAAATTTCAGCACACCACAGCCTCATGCTTTCCAAGGTTCCCACTCCCGACATCTGGGCATGGTGCAGCAGCTGCGTTGCGCGTATCTTTTGCCCTGCAGCTCAAACAGCACTCGCAATGCCAGAGGCGATCTGTTGTCGTGCGCTTGTGGTAATGTTGACCCCTGACTGCGACCGCTTGCGGTGCTCCATCCTTTCCGGGGTGCACAGTCACTCAAGGGACATTCAAGGCCAGGCATCCAAAGCTTCTAAGGGCAGCCGGCAGCCGAGTGGCAAATTTCGCAAGCAGCACAGATCCAAGTGATGGACCCGCCGGTCTTGCCACAACTCCTGCCGGGGCAAAGCCATCAAGAGGAGCGCCTGAAGTAAACTCTTCAAGGCCCTGTATGGGTAGAGCATGGTAGAGCACTAGCTGCTACGTGGACACTGTTCATGTCACAGGTCTTCTACTCAAACGCACTGCAGCACCTGATCATTATCTGAGAGGCAGAATGGTGTGTGTGTGTGTGTGACAAATTGTGACAAACATTAGGTATAGAGTTCAAACCACAGCTTCGCAACTTGCAACTGCTGCAGATCCTGCGGCCAAGGATAATCCCAAAGTCACGGGTTCCATCCCTACCACCAGCTGCAAGATGCCACCAGAACTTCTTTGAGTTGAAGGCTTGACTCGCCCCACGCCCGATTATGCTCGATTGCTAACGAGCCCAGCGCGGCACACATCATGTAGCAGGTCAAGGACTGCGGTTCAAAACATCCCAGATCACACACCAACAGAGCACATGATAGCGCATGTCCAACCAGTCATCTGGGTATGTGGTACCAGGTCTGGCCTCTGTGAACGCCAGGCCCGCAGACCCGCATGGAACTGAGCCCAGGTGAGGCCGTCTAAAGAGGAGACCTGCGCTTTTTCGAGAAACGTGCGAACAACACAGTCTCGGTGGTGGTTCGAAGAGTTTCAGAACGTGGTGAGTTTTGAACAAAAGCACGGTCTTGTAAGGTCATGTTGAAATGTGTCTCAAGTTCAAACAGCTGTGTTTTTGTTTGGGTGTGTACTGAAAGAACAAATGGTGATCAACTCTTCTGTTTTGAAGGCCTCCTGAAACCCTTCTGTGAATCATATCCAAACACAGAGCTAGCCCGGATGGGCCCACCAAACGTATCAAGCTTGAGGAGACATTGGGAGAGACCGCGTCGATGGGTAGTTTTGTCGTTGTCCAGATGCCCGGTTCAGAGAAGAATACCGATGTTTCACGCAGTCTGGTAGAAAATGGACCGTGTCTGAGTGCTCCATGTTTCCAGTGCACCAGTCATTTGGGTGTGGAATGTTATTCCATACCATTCCCCAGTTGGTAACGAAGTCCAAGGAAGTCGTACTGTCAGACCGAAACGGGCCTGTTGCGCCACGATGCCCAACTTCTCGGCTGCCTTGGTTCCGAAAGGCAGAACGACGAAACCGAGAATGGATTTTGGGGTTCCGAAGGGGAGGGAAGATGAACATGGCAAGTTCTGAAGACCTCAACGTGTCCAAACAAAAATAATATGTATATATACAGTATATAAATGAACACACCACTGTAAGTGGACCTTCGTGGCGCCCAAGAAACAAACATCTCATTTGATTTAGCAGCCTTACATCATTCAGGGTGTACGAACCTCTGGGTTCTTCCCACGTTCTGCGAAACTCGTTCTACTTCACGTCCAAGCAGTAGCTAACGGGCTTGCTGCGAGATTTCGGGGGTTCGAACCGCTGGAGGGAATCCAAAACCACAGGGTCATGTCGCATGTCAACACTGGGGTCACTAGTCACTAGTCATGTCAGATGTCATGTCACTTTCTTCAAAAAACACCAAAAAGAGCCCAAAAGACTCCGGATCAGCTTTGGTCAACCAATTGGAGACTTCAACTATGGAACAGATCCCACCTTCTGTCGGACTGAACATCCGGGCTTCAGAATCGCTAGATTCAAAATCTGCTGTTGACATCCAAGCATGGGGTGTCTTAGTTATTAGCTTCACCAAAAAGCACATGAGGGATGACAAAGAGTTCTGCAAGATCAGTGCATTGCGCAAATTTCTAGGACTGCGCAACCAATATGTTCATCATTGTCATTGTTCATCTAACGCATTCACAATCGTGCATGTGCAAAGTACTCTCAACGGACTCCTGTCCCATCTCCTCAGCAAGGTAGGGAGGGACTAAACCTCACCCACCCTGAAAACGAGCGAAAAAGGGAATCGGCCGAAACAACCTGAGGGGTCTTGTAGTTGATAACTGATGAGAGTATCTGCCCCGAAAGGGGGTCAACCACAGCAACCCAGCAAGTTGGGGCAATGCATAACTGACGGAACTCGCAAGGGAACCCGTCGGAACAAATTGCTGCAAACAAAACGATCGGTCAGTGGTTTCCAAGTTTCGCCAAGAATATATACACAATAAAGTGTTGCAAACCATTAGTGCGAATTAGGCGGAACCAAGGAAATTATTCACCATTGTCTTGCCTTGACATGGACTAATGGATGTTAATTGGCTTGTTTTGACCAATGAGTGCATGCGCTCAGGTTAGCTTGGATGGATAAGGGTTCATGCTTCACAAATCCAGAAACCCCTGTAATGTCATGTGTCTCTTGCGCCAAGGCCTAGGGCATGACTTGATGACCACTCAAGGTGTCTTGAACTCAAATCAATGTCCTCTCCCATCATTCAAGCTTCGCCTGATCTGTTTGGTTGGATGGCTGGCTGGTTGGTCGGTCGGTTGAAAACATGGTTCATGTGCGGCACTGTGGAACACTCAAACCTCAAACTTTGTGGTTCACCCATCGCGGCACTCGTCCCACCCTTCATGCTGCGAGTTACCCGCACGTTCATGGCCCGGTCGTCGAAGAAAAGCATCTCCGAGAAATCCACACCTGGCAACACCCGGACATTTTTGTTACAGGTCTGTATTTCCTGAGAGATTGGCGAACATGTGCAAACTCTTGATTCAATGGGTATCTGTGAGAAAAATGTTTGGGGCTGACCTTGGACCAAGCTCCTTCCCTGGGACAAGATGTGATATTTGATCATATTTGGATGTGAATAATCCAATAACACTAGGGTTGATATAGGCCACAAAGCAAAAGTAAAAGGGCTAGAAGGGGGATATATATGTGGATTGCAGGGGTCAATGTTGGAATAATCAGCGGCAACTGGTTCTCCCAATTGAATGGGATCATCCCACTCACTTCACATTGTTTCACGTTGTTTTCTAGATCTCTCTGAATATTCTATGATGTTCTATGAACTTTCCTGTTTTGCCCCAAATCGTCGTCGTATGTCGTCGTCCTTCAAAAACTCACCAGCTCACCTGAGGCTTTCGCGATCCGCTGGAAGTGGCCCGTCTTGCTGCCCGGCGCGATGGCCTTGGCTCGACTTGCCTTTTTGCGCCAGCGGCCTCACACCCATTGCTGCACTGTGGCCCCCAACAAATGTACTTATTACATGTAATTAAAACATGTAATCTGAATCTCTGAAGGCAAATCAACCGCATTTCTTTACTGAAGCGCAAAGCATCAAAGCTGTGATGAGCTTTGCGTCACTTTGTGTGCATCGCTGAGACTGCGAGATGTTTTGCGAGGCGCTTCGTGAGCGTTGCGCCCTTTGCTTTGTTTGATGATTTTATCGATCTGTTTAAAGTTTATAGTCTTGGTTATGGCTCCCAACCTTCACTTCAGCGTACTCTAGGCCTAGACTCTAGACTCTAGACCCTTTAGTGTAAGTAATCTGATGCAATCAGATCAGTCGAATCATCATAAAATAACATAGTATACATAAATATGGGAGCGACCGGCAAAACTAGGGGTCGTTTGGTGGGAAGTTTTAAGGTAGGTATCGTTTTTGGCATTGTTATCGTTGTTTTCAATCCATATGCAATCTTTTTTGGGAGGTATCGTCTAAATGTAAATTGCTCTGGAGGCAGCTAGGATAAGTCACAATTAAGGCTAGCTATCATTTTTGGGAGTGTTATCGTTTTCTCAAGGAGAAAGCAAATTTATCATTTTTGAAGAAACGTGAGTGCCGACCTTTAGCACTTTGCTCGAATGAAAACCATTCAACAATACAACCAACAGTTTCAAGCAAATGACCAGAATAGAGCCTTGTGGAGGTAATGATGTTCTAGTCAACGGAGGCCATGGTGACAGTCTCCGTGGCCGCCAAAGGCCACGGCCCGTGGCATCATTGGCTCCGGCCCTGTTGGCGTCGGTGTTGGGCTTGGTAACTATGGGAAGCTGACTTCAATCGAAAAGGTTTCAGAAACGGTTGGCAACATCACTTTGTTGACATTGGATGAAATTGGTATAGGGCCCCATGACGTCAGCCTCCTTCCCTCACTTTCCATCCACCATCCACCGGTCTCCAAGCTGCCAGCAGGGCACGTTCAATTCCTCCAGCCTCACCTGAGTCCAAAAGCTTCACAAAGCTTTGGGACCCGCTTGCCGTTTTTTCACCAGGTGCTTCAGGTTGGTGCCAGCGGGTCCAACTACCTGAGGTAGGTTGGAGCCCTAGGGCCCTAGGAGAACTGACATAGAAAGAAGGTTGATTACAGGACAAGGGCTCCTAGTAAAACTCCAATGCCTCTAGTGAAAAGGACACCGAGAAAAACAATAATGTGCTTTAGATTATTACAGTATTGCTACAACCCTCAGGAAGACTCTTCCACCAGCCCCTTGTCCTGACAAAAGTATGAGTGTGCGACCCAGAACAAACTTCTTCTCTGAGGTGAAAGATGATTTACCGATATGCAACGCTTCATACTACGCTTTATGGCATCTAGCTGGGTGTCTTTTGTCGCCTAGGTCACTGACCATCTATGATCGAGTCCTGGGGGTTCTTCTCATCAACTTCCCATGCGACAGGCGACCTCCTGAACATCGCGCCTGACCTGATGAGACATTCGTTGTTCGCTTGAAGGATGGAGGATGAAGCTTGGCATGTTGGACCCACAGAGTCAAACCCCAACTTTTGCGGGCCCGTGCCTTTTCAAGGTTTTCAATCTGCTATCAACATGTGTCCGCACAACAACAACAACAACAACAACACCAACAACAACAACAACAACACCACCAACAACAACAACAACAACACCAACACCAACACCACCACCACCACCACCACCAACAACAACAACAACAACAACACCAGCAACAGCAGCAGCAGCAGCAACAACCACAACCACAACCACAACCACAACGGCAACGACGACAACGACGACAACGACGACAACGACGACAACCACGACAACCACGACAACCACGACAACCACGACAACCACGACAACCA